AAAAAAGACAATGGGCTTGGGGCAAGTGTGATAGCTCAATTGGTTAATTCTCCACCTGCAAGTGCCAGCATCTCATACAGGTGCCAGTTTATGTCCTGGCTGTTCCACTCCCAAACCAGCTCCCTGATTGTGGCCTGGGAAAGCAGTGGAGGATGGCTCAAGTTCTTGGGACCCTGTACCCATGTGGGAGACTTGGAAGAAGTTCCTGGCTCCTAGCTTTGGATCGGCTTAGCTCCAGCCATTGCAACCATCTGGGGAATGAACCAGTGGATGGAAGATCTTTCTTTCTGTATCTCCTTCTCTGTGTAAATCTACCTTCCCAATAAAAATAAATAAATCGTAAAAACAAAAAAAAAGGACAATGGACTTGAAAATGCTTTAAATAATTTTTCTTCTTTTTATTTATTTTTCAGAATGAACACATATTTTTTGTTAAGAAGAAACAATATAAAGTCACAGTTCTCAAAAAGACAGATGAGGTTTAGACCTCAAATATCACAAATCATCCACTTCAGTGTGATAAAGCTCACCTCTTGCAAACACTCCAAGTTCCCACTACAGGGCACAGGAAGAGCAAGGATTAATAGAGTGCTAGCTTGTGTCCCAACTGCTCCACTTCCCATCCAGCTCCCAGTTTGGGAAAGCAGCAAAGGATAGCCTAAATTCTCAGGTCCCAGCACCAAGTGGGAGACCCAGAAGAAGCTCCTGGCTCCTGGCTTTGGATCTGACTGGCTACAGTACCACTTGAGGAGTGAACCAGCAGATGGAAGATCTCTCACTTTCCTTCCCTCTCTCTAACTCTGCCTTTCAAATAAAAATAAATGAATGTATTTAAAAATTTGAGGTTCTTCTGTTCTACACAGCCACTGACGTGTTGATTACAGAAATGTATTCATGTATTAAAATTCACAGAACTATATGTCCCCTCTCCCAAGGTTAAATGCAATTCCATGTACAAAAACAAAACCATTTTTGACTCAAAAATGTTCTAGTAAAAAAAAAAAAATCCCAAGTGTGCTTAGCTGGGTGATGATGACTTAAACAGGTGACCTCATCCTCATTAAACCAAAGACATAGGTGTCTCCCCGTGAGAGCAGAGATGGTAACTGCTCCCCCATGTGTGCTCAGGAACAGCATGTGTGCTAATGCATGTGACAGTGAGCCTCCAGGAGAGAGCTGCCCACGATCCCTGGGTGCTCATGTCACCCAGTATGCGCACAGACCCCTGGAAAAGGTGCACAATATTCCTCCTAGGCACTTCAATTTCCTCAAGCACAAGGTGGCCGTGGCAAGATGGCATGCAATCTGGTGCTGGGATTTCTCTGAAAGCATTGCCCAAGATTCCCCCTCATTGCCCGTCAATATCTGAAGTTCCTCCAACAGCCACAGAAACAGAGGCAGAGTTAAAGGTCGGAATGGCTGCCTACATTTGACATCACAGAGACAGACTCAGATATCTGAGCTCACACATACACCTTCAATGCAGAGTCTTGTTTTCAACCTGACTTTCAGAAAAAAAAAAAAAATCTTGTGATTTGTTAGTCGAAAAATCTTTAAAGCAAATAAGCCAACCACAGTCTGAAGATCAGACACTCCACGCCACTGTCAGTGCCACAGGTGCCTCTGCTGCCTCCCAAGGTCGTCTTCCCCTGACCCTCTCCCCTGGAATGAGGAGAGGGGTGCTGACGTGGTCCCCAGCAAAGACCAAAGCAAACCTCTTCGCCACAACAGAAAGAGCTTAGATCCAAGGCCCCAAGACAAAGGACCTGACAAAACTCAACACACAGCAGCGGGCGGGGGTGGGGGGCAGGGGAGAAGGCGGCTAGAGGTCCCTAAACCCACTTGTTCTCTTGCCTCTTCCGAGGAAAGGATCACAGGACTGCTCGGAATAACAGTAATCATAAAAAGGCAGATGGGCCTGAATCTCATGTTGTTTACAGAGTGAGCTCACATGCTGTGCTGGTTATTTGCTCAGTGAGCGGGCAAGGCTGACAGCTTGAAGGAGCTATTTGAGGGGTGTCTAGTCCCATCAAGGAAGGATCCCAGAGAGCAGTGCAGCTCCCAGAGTGTCCCCTCTAACTTGGCAGAGGTTAAGAGCCCGTCAGATGGCCCTGAAAGCATCCAGAAGGGAACCCACCCCTCAGTGCACAGCCCGAGTCTGGCAGAGGTGACAGAGATGGCAGGGGGTGGTAAGAGGGTGCGCTGGCTGTATGCCCAAAGTACAGGGAAAACAGAAGGAAGGGGTTGGGCAGGCTGGACCTGCTTGGAGAGCAGCTCACATCCTCAACTGCAGAATCGCTGCACTTATGGGTCTAGCTCTGCTCTCCTCCCATCCTCCTCTCAGCTAAACACCAGACATCTTCCTCCTGGCACACTCCCCGTGGAGGGGCCACATGCACAGTGGTCCTCAGTGTCTACTGTCCAGGTGCAAAGGTTCTAGGACATCAGAGGACTCACAGACAGCAATCACAACCTCTTTCCAATAGAAGGAGCCCTACTCAGTACCAGCTAGCACAAGCAGAACATGTTCATACAAGCACAGTTACCCATTTTCACATCTGTGTCTTTACCTATGCCACATATGGACAACACGTACACACACGCCTGTCTGGACAGTGGGAGCAAGACAGCAAGTCTTATCTATGAATCTAGAAACCTGTGCTTTCTTCATCAAAGCCAGCAGCGACAATTTCATTGGCAAACTTTCTATTACAAGGCTAGATGACAGATGGCCATGTCACCTGCTTGCTCCTCTCCCTGCTGCCCCACTCCACTCACCCAATGAGGCTGGTTAATAAGCTGGGGGACAGAGATGGAAAAGAGAGTTCCAGGCTGCATTCTTTGTGAGACAGGAGCATCAGCTTGTTAGACTGTCTCAGATACTGCACTTCCAAAGCCCAGCAGGCTGCACCCCTTGGAGCAGCTGGGCTAGGCTCCCGGGCCTCTTCAGAACACATCCATCTCTCTGCTCCCTGCCAGGTGCAAGGACTTTCTCTGACTCCCCCTTGTCTATTTCCAGCCTCTATAAATCATTAGCCATTGTTTCAGAAAAACCTGAATTCAAGCTACTAGTCTCACGTTCTCAACCCCCACCCCTCCATTCCCTCTGGGAGAGGTACTGAGAAGAAATTCTAAATTAGATCTGGATTTAAAAGGGTCTTAGAGCTGCCACATGAAACAGGAAAACAAAGCCTGACTCAACACCAGGCACCACCTACTGATGCCTACAGTTTGAGGGCTGGGCTGTGATGTCCAGGCGGGGACTTCACGGGCATCTTCAGGAAGCAGAATTTGAACCTCACGCCAGCTGACACATGATATTGCTCTACATGAGCATTAAGTGCTGCAGTGGCTAGATTAAATGGCTGCTGCAGAACCGTTCTCATTTCTAGGCTGCTGAGAAGTATGAGATGGCTTTAAAATTTATTCCAGCAAGCCCGCCCTCCTCACAGCAGCACACTCATGCCCAACCTGGCACAAATGTTCAGTTTTCAGCCTGGGATATGCAGGCACTCACTGCATCCGCCCAGGTGGATGTGCATCCCAAGTGTTCCAAGGTGGAAACTGGATCACAGATGCTCTCAGCAGAAAGTCTGTCCAACCAGGGCTCTGAACTGCTGCAATTCTTAAGCCTCCATGGCGAGAGGACCTTAACAACATTCTGGAAAATGTAGGGCAGTGTAAAGGGACTATGCAGAGTGAGTGATTCCCAAACTTCCCCAAGTATTGATCCTGCACAAATGATCATATTTTAAAAATCACCCTCCCTGAAGTACTGCACAGTGAGCTTAGGCTCTGCAAGCACAACTGTGGTGCAACACCTCTACACAGCAGCCTGCCAGGGCTTGGCAGCCCACTCCCTTCAGAGAGGGAGGCTCAGCCCACCCTATCGACCTCCTGGCAGACTAGGGAGAGATGTCCTACAAGGCCCAGTCCAGGCACCTTGAGCCTGCCCTCCAATGCGCTGTGTTCCTGACTGGCTGAACAAGACCCAGATCTGAAAGCCGCATCGTGCCCAGGGTAGCCACTCCCTAGCCCCCTCCACATTGGTTGCGACACTTGCCCAGATAAACGTGTGTGCAGATTCCTGGGTGGTGCACACAGGAAGGTGGCAGAACAAGGAGCAGTAGCAGACAGGGTGGCTGGTTGTCCACCTCTGGACAAGGCAAGGCAGCTGAGCTTAGAAGTGCTGATATTTTAAGACCCAACTGCCATAAAAGCAAGCAGCAGAGACACGAGCCATGGCAGGCACCTGCCGGGGCCACCTTCTCCAGATGCCAGAGGCTCCTCTATGAAGGTGGTGGTAAGCAAAGTACCACTGCACTTCAGGCATCATGCACCTTCAGGTATCACGCACTTGAACACTGCTGTGTTGGTCCCTCTGTTCTCAGCAACAGACTCCCAAGGGCGCACACAGGTAAAGTTTCTTAGATTAAAGCGAAAACCAGACCGCTTAAAGACTCCCTGGGTGTCTTCTCTCAGCTCTCTCTGGGTCCAGCTCAAATGGTTACCTGCCTGATTCCTGGCCCCTGAGGAGACGACTGCTCCAGGATTGTCAACGCAAAACGACTCCCCTCCACTCCAGCCCCGACACCCCCTCATCATGTCCCATTCCTGACCGAGAATGCTGCCTTTAACCAACATCCCTGAGGTCTGACCCCAGCAGGTGTGGCAGGTGTGGCAGGTTGCCGGGACAAGAAGCTGGGTCACCCACCAAGTAAAGACAGCCCCCTGGACGTCTGTGACCTCAGCAAAGTGCCTGCCGGGGCTCCCAGTCCAGAGAAATCTGGAGCTTCCAAGCACACAGGGATCTTGCACTTCAGACCCCTTGCAACCGCAGTCTCATTTGTCTCCTGGAAAGCACAGCTGCCACCGACGAGCCGGCTCTCTGTACACCGGTACACGGGACAAGGTGCGCGCTCGGGCATTCGTGCCTCATGCAGGCCAGGATCCCAGTGCTGCGACCCCACACCCTCAGCCCGCTGCGGGTCGCTCCTTACCGCCAGTGTCCTCGAAGCGGGGAGGCGGACGGTCCCGTAGCGTGGCACTCCAGCCAGCGCTGGCCTCGTCCTCCTCAGGATCCTGCGCGTATGGGGCGCGGGCAGGAGGTGGCGGGCTGGCGAGGGTCCCCGAGAAGCCGGGGCGCTCGTGCTCATCGTCCGAGGAGGCTGCCGAAGAAGAGCGCGAGGCGGCCGAGGTGCTGTAGAAAGGGTTCCCGCCGCTGTCCGGGCCTGACTCTCCGAACACATCATCCGAGATGTGTAGGCTCTCGTAGCGCGCCCGGGCGGCCTCGAGCAGCGCCGGCGCCTTTCTTCGCGCGCCCCCGCCGCCCTCGGCCATGGCCCCGGCCGCCGCCCGAGTGCCCGCTCCCCACAGCGCCTCCCAGCCGCACGCGCCGGGCCCCGGGCCCGCGCCGCGGCCCGCCGCCCCCCACCAGCGCAGCCCGCAGCACAGCGCCCGCCGCCCCGTGCCCGGCCGGCCCGCCGTCTTGGCCGCCTCGGGCCCAGCGCCCGGGGATGCGCCCTCAGAACTCGGGCGCCGCAGGCTGCTGCGGCCGCGGCGAGAGGCGAGCAGCGTGCCGGCAAAGAGAAGGGCCGGCGGGACGCAGGGGCTGCGGGCGAGACCAGACGCCGCCGCTGCGTCTCCGTCGCCCGCCGCCGCCCCGGCCAGCCGCGTCCCCGTGCGCCCTCCCCGCGGCACCCCGCGCTCCGCGGCCGACCTTCCCGGGCGCGAGCTGCCAGCGGCGGGTCCCGCCTCCTCGCACCTTCAGCCTGCCGGCCAATGGGGAACCCGGCCCGGGCGCGGTCAGGGAGAGCTGGGCGGGCCCTGCGCCGCGGAGGCCCCCACCCCCTTAGCCGGGCGGGGCGAAGGGAGGAAGGCGGCTGGCGATCGGCTCCGGCCAGTCCTGGCGGGCAGGGATGCGCCGTCCGCAGGCTCCGTGCTGCCCAACGGGAGGGCGGCGGCCCACAAGGCTCTTCCTCCCGCCCGAGTCCGAGGACACCGGCGACGTGCCACACCAGCTGGAGGTCGGATTTCGCGGTCCCGCGCTGGGCTCCCAGGAGCTGTTCACCACGGTGGTTCTGAATCAGGCTCTGCGGAAACGCTCCAGGTAGGCGGCCGGCTCAAGTGGCAGCCCAGGGCGGCTGCTGCTGGTTCTAAGGGTCGTCCGCTGTGCCGCAGGCTCCAGTACCACACGGGGGGCTATCTTAGAAACCTCTCCCTAACTAGGAGGCCAGCCTCGCCAGTCCATTCCTGGATTCCGATGCCAACTCAGTCTTGCTTTAGTATCGCTGGCAATAAAGGGTGAGAGCAGCGGAGTTAGTCATTTCTCATCTTTGGACGGTTGACGCCTTTTGAACTCAGAGGATTCATTGCTCCCGAAATATTGATTACCCTACTTTGTCTTTAAACACGCACTTGACACTCATCTTTTGACATACGACACAATCACCGGAGCTTCAGTGCTCTGATAAATAATATAAAAATAAAAGTCTCATCTGTCCCTCCTCCTTGAGCAGGAGCGTGTGGTAGTGGCAGTTCTGCAGACGGCAGCCCATCTACCCAGACTCTCCTGTCTTCTTCCTCACCCATCCCAACACCAGCCCTCACACAGCAGTGCAATAAGTCACATTAATGGTAATTGGTTTGTCAAGTCACTTTCCCTCAGAAAGTAAATCCACGGAGATGTGAAAGGCTTACAAGTCCTGCTGGGAATAACTAAATAATAATTACACAAAACAGAAAGACCCACCGCTATTTCAGAGCGTGCATAAAGGATGAAGAAGTAAGAGCATTAGTGAGGGCAATCCTACGAGCAAGCATGAGCCTTCACCCGCCTCCCCAGCTCCCAAACCAGAGGCTTAAACACACACACACACACACACACACACACACACACACACACACACACACACACAGGTTTGTGAGGATCACTAATGGACAATATGTCAGAAAGAAGGAATTCACACATTGCTTGTTATAAAGATTGGCTTCTAAAGGAAGTGTTTGCAAAGCATTTCCACTCCCTTGGAAGAACTGTACCATGGGAAGGACAACTTTGTAGCATATCACCATAGGGTATTAACCAGAACAAAGATTTCAAAGAAGGCATAGATGATGACCCCAAGAAGGGTCATGCTGAAACACAGGCTAGAGATACAGGAACAAAGTGAAACTCTAGGTCAGGTTCAAATTCTGCAGTACAAAATTTTGCAGGACTCCGGAACCAGCATTGTTCTGGAGCAGAAAAAGCCACTGCCTGCATTGCCAGCATCCCCTGTGTCCCAGCTGCTCCACTTTCAATCCAACTCCCTGCTAGGGAAAAAGCCATGGGAAATGGAACAAGTATTGGGATTTCTGTCCCCCCATATGGGAGACCTGGCTGAAGCTCTTGACCTTCAACTTTGGACTGGCCCAAGTGGGATGCTGTGGCCATCTGTGGGAGAGAACCAGCAGGTGGAAGATCTTTCTTTTACACGTTGATTTTTGAAAATATATATATACATATATGTATATATGTTTTTTTTTAATCGTGAGAGTCCTGCAAAGTTTTACGTGAGCCTTTAAAATAATTGAAAGAAAATCAAATGGGTGAATGTTGTGGTGCAGCACATCAAGCTGCCACTTGCTGGCCATCCTGTTATTGGACAACCCATTTGCTTTCCTCGCTCCTCTGCTTCTGATCCATTTTCCTGTTGATGCATGTGAGAGATAGCAGATGATAGTGCAAGTACTTGAGCCTCTGACACCCTTCTGGGAGACCCAGAAACATTCCTGGCCCACAAGTATCATGACCCTGGCCAGCCTTAGCTGTTGTGAAAGAGTGAACTGGTGGTTGGAAGATTCTTTCTCTCTTTGCCTTTCAAATAAATAATTTCTTTTTAAAATCTTAATTAAATTTGATGGGGAATACATAAGGAAGCATTTTTTTCTCCCATTAGCCAATGAAAAAGCCAACAGCTATGGTGTGTGTTTTAAAAATAGTGGATTGTTTTGCTGCTTTTTGGAAGCTTAGAACAAAGCAGTAAAAATTACAAGAATGAACAGTCTTTTATTATCTCTGATTTGCATTTATGTGGTGATTATTCCAAGGAAACCGGGTGCCCTGCTTTCTAAGTTGAAAGTGCTTGTAGTTCATCTAGCATGTAACATTGGGAAAGGGATTGTTGTATGGTCATCAAAGAAACAAACTGTTACTTGTTGAATAAACATTAGATGACTACTTCAGCTTGGAGTCAAGTGTTCAGGATGTTAACTAAATGTGTCCAAACAAGAGAAGTAAAAATATTCTAAGTTTTGAAGAAAGGTGGGCATTTCTCATTTTGAAGAGAGAGGTGCAGAGCTTACAAAACTATTGGGAAACAAAACAGTATCTCATCTTTCTGGCATTCTCTTCCTTGAAGATTTTCTTATGATTCCACATCATTAGCTTTTATTAATAACATATTTGTGAGAGTAATTACAGGATCAATATTACACTGAGGTCTTTTAAGTCATTTGAAAACATCTTCCAAATAATTTAAATTTGAAATATAATTAATTTTTAGGTTAATATTGAGCTTTTGGTTTATGGCTTTCCAAAAGAGTTCCAGGTAAAAGCAAGCCAATTCTATAGTAGATTTCTGAGGCTTTGTTAAGCCAAATATTGTGCTTTTCTGTAACTGGAGCTAATTTTCACTGACCATGAACTTCCTTTCATGTTATCGTACACAAATTCTTTGTTTATCACTAACAAAGAAAAAGCAATATTCTAGAAAACTGATACAATGAAGTTTTCACTCATAAATTTAATGTATGCTTATTTTAAAGATTTATTTTTTTATATTATTACAAAGTCAGATATAGATAGAAGTGGAGAAACAGAGAGGAAGCTCATCCTTCCGATGACTCACTCCCCAAGTGAGCACAACGGCTTGTGCTGTGCCGATCTGGAACCAGGAGCCAGGAGCTTCTTCCAGGTCTCCCACTCCAGTGCAGGGTCCCAAGGCTCTGGGCTGTCCTCGACTGCTTTCCCAGGCCATGAGCAGGGAGCTGGATGGAAAGTAGGGCCGCTGGGATTAGAACTGGCACCCATGTGGGATCCTTGTATGCTTATTTTAAAAGCTCCTAGATGATCATACAGATATTTGCCATGTATCATTCTAATGTAGTCATAGAGACAAAAATAAATTTAGAGCCATTGATTGAAGCTTTCCTAATTTCACATTCAGAATCTCACAATTCAAAAAGACAACTGTGGAGCTGACAGTTGGCCTAGCAGTTGAGATGCCAGTTAGATTGCTCAAGTCCCCCATCGGAGTACCATCGCTGAATCCTCATCTCTTGACTCTTGAGTGAAGCTTTCTGCTAATGTACATGCTGGAAAGCAATGGCTCAAGTGATTGGATTCCAACCATTCCTGCAGGAGATATGGATTGTCTACACAGCTCTTGCCTACCCTCAGCTGTTGCAGTCTTTTGGGGCATAAACCAATGGATGCGAGTACTCTCAATCTCTGCCTCTCAAATTTAAAAAGGGGGGAAAAAATGAACATTTTACTATCTTTACTTGCTTTCTAACTCATGGTTGTCAATTCCCAGGTTTCACCCTCACAGTATGTTCCTCTGAGCCAGTTAGAGCCTGCATAATGCTATGCTTTTTTTTTCTCCAAATATTTATTTATTATTTATTTGAAAAACAGTCTTATTGAGTCAAGGAGAAAGAGACAGAAAGTAAAAGAGAGAGATCTTCCGTTTGGGGGGTTCACTCCCCGAATGGTTGCAATGACCAGGGTTGAGACAGGCCAAAGCCAGAAGCCAGGAACTCCATACTGGTCTCTCACATGGTAACAGGAATTTAGGCACACAGAGCATCATCTGTGTTTGGTCTGAAGTTGGACCAGACATATTGAGTGATCAATACTCAAACCAGGCCCAAGACACAGGATACAGGTGTCTTAAATGGCAACTTAACCCACTATGCACAACACTCACTTCACTACATCCAGACTACCAGTATCACTTCCAACATCTGGACTCCTGCTACCCTCTCTACTGCAGTTGGTGCTGATGTTCTGTTTGATATGATTTGTTTTACCCAAAGTTTTAATATGATAACCAGATTTATTCTCCTTGTTCAACAGGCCTTATTGCCGGCATTGCTAAAGGGTATTTGAGACCAGTCATGATATAGGAATAGCAATCAAGTCAGTATTTCAACAAGAGGGATTTTGTTTCCAGGGACTTTTCCACACGAAAAGGGCTAAGGCTATGGTAACTGCATAGAAACTTGTGCCTGCTTTTAGACAATTCTTAATGTTAGAGATGCGAAATGTATGAAAAGGGAATGGGGTATATTAGAAT